CTTAATGTGATATTTTAAGCATATTTGTCAAATTAGACAACATAAATGCTGTGATTTATTTTACACAGTTTCTCAATTCTTTTTGTTATGTTCTTTATTTCTTTACAGGACATTTATCTATTTGGAGGAAAGTTCTCAAATAAAGATGCAACAGTGACATCATCCAACGAAATCCATAAGCTCAGTATTTGTACGTAGGTTACTGATATGTCGCATTTCTGTAAATAAATCCACTAGAGTAAACTAAATTCATTCTCCGTGTGTCTCCAGCAAAGATGAAGTGGAAGGTTCCACTGTATGTTGGGATTCCTCCAGCCCGGCGACATGGCCACGCTGCCTTTATCCTCCACAGTCATGTCAGCTTAGTATTGAATTTATCATCAATATCAGTGACGTTACTCGTTCTCTAATCCCTCCTGACTCTGTTTTATGGTTCATAGCTCTATATTTTCGGAGGGAGGAATGAGGAGCAGGATTTTAATGACCTGAAGGTGATGAAGCTCATCAACCCTTCTGAGAGACAACCAGGTAAATTAGGTGCACCTCTAAACCTTAAAGGATCCTCAAGCAACAAAGTCCTAATCTCAGTAAAACAGAAACATTTCAGGTTAGAAATGTAGAAAAGTCTGATCTTCAACATTACAACATTGATTTGGTGCAAAAAAATTGACATTAAGAAAAAATATTATTTTTAAAATACAAGTGCTACACCTAATAGTGGAAGAGTGACTGGTTGTTTAAGAGGTTTGATGTGCTATAGATGAGTGATGTTTAGTTGTTTGGTTGGTTGGATAGTTGGTTGGTTGGTTGGTTGGATAGTTGGTTGGTTGGTTGGTTGGTTGGTTGGTTGGATAGTTGGTTCGTTGGTTGTATGGTTCGTTGATTGAATGGTTGGTTGGTTGTATGATTAGATGGTTGGTTTGATTGGTTGGATGGTTCGTTGGTTGGTTGGATGAATGGTTGGTTGGATGTTTGGTCAATTGATTGATTGGGTGGATGGTTGGTTGAATGTTTGGTTGGTTGGATGTTTGGT